GGATTTGGTAGGACTAACGAAACAAGACTTTTAAAGACTTACTTTGAGAAACTGGGGTGGACACTTAATAGAGGAAACTATAACGAATAATGTACAAAGCAATTGTCAGATTGCAGCCCTATGTTTTTGTAGCACTAGCATAGTGTTTTGTATACGCCTTCACAGCATTTTGAATTGTGTATACCACTTCAATTTAATCCTCATACTGCCGATTTCTCCATTGCAACTGCGTCACATTGTAGTATTACATTGTCAAATCTGTTTTAGTTGTATAAAATCCTACACATAGTAGTTTAAATGTGCTAAAATGTGCAGAATGACTGACATAAGCTTTTAAATGCCCTTTTCCCTGACATAGTGTGGTGCTCCTCTGTACTCTAACTGTGGCCTCTCTTCGGTACAGGTGTGAGGACCCTCTCCTGCTCTTCCTCTTCCTCCTCTAACCACCCCTCATTTCCCCGTCAGTCAAACACACAAAAACAACAACCCCTAAATAACTCCCACACGACAGGCTTTCTTAAACCCACACTGAAAAGCTGAAACGTTGACTTTAATTAAATGTATAATGTCAACAGATTTCACATAACTGTATTACTGTAGGTTAGATCAGAGCAATGTTATTAAGTTGAACTTAACATTTGTATTCAAACCTAATATTATTACTCTCAACTAACCTAATACAGTTATGAGAAATCTGCTGGTATTATACATTTAATTAAAGTCAACAGTTTCGTTTTTTCAGTGCATAGCTCATTGCCCACTCCCATGCACCAGCCTACCTGTCCCTGGAGCTCTGCCACTGCCTAAGCCCCTTCCTCTCCTCCTCTTCCTCTTTCTGCCCCTTCTCCTCCCTCTATGTGAGTATTTTCATGACATCCAGCATGTGGACTGTGTACTGGGCATGTGGTGGTGAACAGTGTGGGTGTTTGCTGGTTCATGTTCAGGGCTCACCCGTGATTCTCCCTGCTAATGACTGCATCATCTCTCATGGAGGTAATCAGGGAGCCACACATGTTTAATGCACGGCAGCTCTGTCTGTGATTTATGCACTTTTGCAAGACTGTGAGCACTTGTTTTGTTTCGCACACTTAGGAGAAATATTCCTGTCAGTATTTGCTATTATCTTGTCAGTGGATGTTCCACCTGAACAGTAAAGCTGTCACTTCAGAGGCAGAGGAGAATACCTAGGATGCACCTGTCTGCTCTCACTGTGTTACACGGGGGTCTTTTTGTATTTAAGTGAGTGTGAGTGTGTGTTTGGTGTCGTGTGCATGTATTTCTTTACTGAGTCTGACCAAATGACAGTTTCACAGCCTCAGGCAAACGCCATCAGAGATCTCACATTTACCAAGTCTTAGTCCTGAGTTAGATGTCCTTATCAGTTTTTATCTTATTCAATCAAACTCATCCATTCTAGTTACATTTTACTGCAAGTTTTTGCCTTATTAGTTCCTTAGTTAGTAGCTATTTTAGTATACTTAGTCATCAGATTATATTGAACATTTCGGTTCATTTTAATGTAGTTAAAATGATCCCTTTGTTTCGTTATCCCATGCTCTGTTATCATGTTATAAACTATAATTTAAAGCTATCTAAAACAAATCTACAGTAGTACACAGCTGGTGTTGAATTGAGTTTTGTCATTGCCCTATTTTAGTTATTTAAGAGTCGTAAGCGATGACCCGATGAGTCAAAATGTTTCTTTAGAAATTAACACTGCTTTGAGTACATTTAGTTACTGTATTTTGAAACAAAACAAAATTATAACTTAAAAACCTGAAAGACATGAATTAATGTATCTTAAACTGCATTTCCACTAAAAAAATAATCTTACTTTGAGCAAGAAAACCCCATACATTTCTCCCTGATGGATTGCGTACAGTATTTCTAGTAAATGTCAAGTCTTTGGAAGTCCATTTTCTATTCTGCGCTGAAATGAACTGAAGCCGCGGGCCATTTAGATAGATCCTCCGCAGTAATGTAAAGTGTACGTGAGCAGCTGTCGTAAAATGGCCTAATAATCTCTTTTAGTCTGACAACCTGCTACAGTGAGCACAAGATGAGGGACTAATGAGCACGGTGGGTCGTTCCTATTAGTGGCAGTAAGAGAGCTGCTTGTACATTTACTGAGGAAATAATGTGTTTTATCAGAAGACAGACAGGGGTTTAATAAAGTTTGTAGGCAACATACAATCACCCAGTCACAGCAAGAAATCAAATATGTCTGGGATTGTATGGCTTTTGTGATCATGCATCTTAATCTCTTGGAAAGACATCCACAATTTCACAAGTATGGTTTAAATTCTTAAAGAAAGTAGGTATTATCTACCTTTTTGTCAAGTTGCCTTCTTGTTTGTCAAATATCTGTGTGATAAATAATAAAAGTATGTGAGACGTAAAACCAAAGAGAAAAGAGAGATGGATGGAAAGACGACTATGAAGTTATAAAAGGCAGAGGTAGAACACTAAGGGAAGACACAGAAGAGAGAGATAAGGCAGGGAGGTGTGTGGGGTGTCAGTGTGACAGAGAGAGGAGTGCTGAGTCAAAGTTATGATAATGAGAGCAGCCTGCTCCTTGATCCAGCTGCAAATTCATCCTCAAACCTGGCAGCACACGCTGAGAGAGAACAGCACAAGAAATCAAAGCTGCGTCACAATTCAGACTGGGCGGTTTATCTTTGAAAGCCTCAAAGAAACAGTTGCTCCAGCGGACAAAACAGTACATGTATCCAAGGCTGTCATAATTCAGACTGTGGGCCAAATAAACATTAATTGTAATATTTAAAAGAGTATATTTTCATTTATCAAGAAGCATCGTTGCTAGTATGTACTAGCTGTTGAATATTTTTTACATTTCGGTCTGTTTTCACAGGCTTTAAAAGCACACGTGTAATTGACATTAATTAGCTCTAAAATGCAATGCCAAACATTCTTACATATCTCATTAGTTATGCAACACAGTGTGTCAGTGTGCTAAAATATTCCAGTTAGACATTTCCATGCACAAAAACCTATATAACACACTACAGGAAAGAAATAATCCCCCAAATTACAATAGAGCCTTTTAAAGTATTTCTCAGGGAAAGGGAAACTTTGATCTGCGGAAGGCACTAGAGGGAAAATCACAGGATCATGAAAGAAATGTGGATTTTGCACCATTGATTTATGTTAATCCATCCAAAAGTTTTTTTATTTTAAATCAAAAACATCCGCCTCATGAAGCCCAGGAAGTCAGTAGGAACAATGAATGTCTGAACAACATTTAATTAAAATCCAAACAGTAGTGGTTGCCATATTTCAGTTTGCACCACAGTGTTGTATCACATTGTCATCCTAAGGCTAATAAAAACCAGCGATGCTTCCGGTGACCTTGGAGTTAGTGAACTTGACTTCTCCCCCACAATGCTCTGTGCTTCTCCTTTTGTTCGCCGGGGAAACAGTGTGTGATTATCTCTGGTGATGGTTTCCCTGCGCCATTATAACGAGTCTGTCATTACTGCAGCTATCAACACCCATCTGTACAGAAACGGAGACAGTAGAGACATCAGCACATCGCATAAGTTCATTAGAGAACAGGATTCAGCCGCAGACTGGATTTCACTGGGGAACAAAGTTAGCATCTAGCAATATAATGTAGATGGGTGGAGTCCGGGAGGAAGTGAGGCTTGTTAGCAAATGTGTGTTGGGCCTCATTGCCAACACAATGACTGTAATTGTGTGTGGTTGTGGGAGCTGGTGCTTGTCGTGGATTTCCTGTGTTACATTCAGAGAGACTGCAGTGTAGCTATTTCTGGTGTGAGGAGGGGAAAGCCTGCAGCTCTTTTATCGCTTCCTTACCCCCACACTCTTTTTTTTGTATTCTGTGGCTCCTTTTCTTCCCTCGCTCCTCTCTCTTTTTCATCGGGGGAGCTGTGGGATGTAGATAAGTCCTCAGACAGCAGGAACAGCAGGGAGCAGGGAGAAGGAGAGGGTTTCTGCCTTGTCTAGTAACAGCTCGCGTCACAGAACGTCTCAGGTTAATGGGGTAATAATGTGATTGATGGAGAGGAAAACTGGCTGTAGGCTGATTCTCATGTACAGTGGAGAGAAATCTGTATTATTATAACGTGGACAACGAAGGAGTTTATAGTGCTAGACCTGAATATACATAAATATAAATATTCCGAATCAGATTTCTTTCTTACAGTAGCTACGTTATATAAGTATATATCACCTGTGTATGCTGTTTCTGCGCTTGTGTTTTCAAAGCACTTTGTCAGGCCTAATCTCAGATTCAAAGCATTTTAATATAAGCATTTATATAGCTCTATAATTTATCCATGGTGGGGAAAAGTCTGACAAGCTGTTATTATGCTCTTGTATTAAATAAGGAATAATACAAACGGAAATACTGTAGAGTAAATATTGCTTTTAATAAAGCGAAAGACGTGTTGCAGTCGATCTCAGCCAAACAGTTTAAAGAGAATGGAAGTGGATAGCTGAGGTACCTTTATTGATACAGCAAACCAAGGTGATGTATTTCCAATGAATCAACATTGGAAATACAGTCAATTCTGCAAACAGTGAATTGAACATTATCAATTTAATAAATCAAAATCAAAAGTGAATCATTAATAATGTGTGTGATATTGTTAAAGATGGTGTTCAAAGATAATGTCGTTTTGGCTAATCCAACAGTTTTTACCAGTCTCCCCGAGACAAAAACTGAGAGACGCTTTAAGACAGACCTTTTTAATATATTTGGTATAGTCTGAAATTATGTCAAATAGCAATATTAAGCTACAGTATCTTTTCTTATTTGTTGGGTGTCTTTACAATCCAATGACATAATTATGATCCCGTAAACATCCATAAAAGTTGAAGGGGCCCCTATTCCAAGCTTTTTTCTGGATATATGCATCTGATTCCAATATGATCATGCCACTGAAACGTCTTTCATTTGATTTTGTGGCATCTTGTCCCACTTCCCTAACCCTCCCCCTCTGTTCCCTCTCTGGCAGATATAAACAGACGATCCCTAAACTGGACCCTCCGCCCTCCATGATCCGGAAGCGCTCCAGCAGGACCTTCTCTCCGGGCTCCGGGGAGGTCACGGCTAACGACGGGGCCCCTAGCAGCAGCAGCAGCCTCTCCTTCCCGGACATCACCCCCAGCTCCCTGTGCTCCGCAGACTTCCACTCCCTCTGTAACGGCGAGAGCAGCTCCTGCTCAGCCAGCGAGGACTCGGGGGTCCGGTCCGAAACCAAGTCGCTGCTGTCTCCTTTACGCGACGACGACGACTTGTTCGGTGACCGCGGGACGTTTCTAACGGCCTCGAGCGGCTGCGACAGTCCCCTGGAGGACAGAAAGGATCTCTTCTCCTCGTACCCTGCTGATCCCACCTCACGCCCGGACACTAACGACCACCTTCCGCCCTTCTCCCCCCCCATGAACGACACCTGCCTTCACATCAGCTTCTCCGAGGACGAGCTGCTGGACATCAGCCAGGAGGAGCCCAGCGTCCCTCAGAGGAGTTAGGAGGACCAAGAGTCCTCACTTATCAATCAACTCTTAATGCAATACTTCCTGTCAGACCCTCTTCTCTTTGCACTGGGCTCCACATCAGGACCTTTCATTATTCCGTCCACTTTGACACAGTCCAAACATAGCATATACCAGTTAACGATGAATAATCTATTGTATAAATTATTAGCCAATGGACAGATTTAGTATTTTTGTAATGAATTCTAATCTTATTTTATTTAGTGACTAGAATGTTAAGCAGAATACATGTAGCAATTCTTGCACTGTTAAGGTCACATGTACGTTAGAAAGTAAAAGGAACACATTTTATTTTTGCTAGTAGTCTACCTTAAAATGTTATTTTGTATGATGCTTCTGCTGTGGTGCAAACTATTGTGGGAAATATTGTTTTCTGCAGATTTCACAGAGTGATCACAGGGATGTTGGGATAAGCCTCGCCTTCTGAAAAGCACCGGACCCGAGTATGGAGGGAAAGAAAAGAAACAGAAAGTCAGGATAAAAGAAAAAGAGAGGATAGAAGTAAGCAGTGTTTTGATTTATGCACATCAATGTGTGGCTGTGTGGGTGTTTAGTTTTCATTCACAGAGTTGAGATGGTTTAGGAAGGTTTTGAGCTACTTGTATTTTAATTTGATTTTGACTTACATGCTTTAAAGCAGAAAATAAATGCCATATACGAATAGATTTTGTATTTAAGATGGTTGTAATCCTTCTAAAGCATTTCATTTATGATATTTTTGCAAACCCTCAAAAATCATGCAGGAAAGCTTTGTATTGCACATGTGTCAGTGTGGAGAGTGGGTTATTAAATGCACCCCCACACAATGGAACGATAATTGGGCAATCACAGAGGGCCTTGGAGAAAGACAGCTTGGCAGATAGATTTTCTCGCACCGCCTCAATTTGAGAAATCCTGAACCACCAGCAAAATGTTTCATTAAGAGGGATCAATTAAGCTGACATTTTATATATCCATATAGAGCTACAACTATTAGTCAATAAGTCTTTAATCCGACAAATTGGTCGGATTAAAGTCCGATTTTAGGCACAAATTCCCCCAAAAATACTAGTTTTAGCTTTTCCAATGTAAAAATTACTTTAATTTTTGGCTCATTTTTTCTTTTCTCTGAATATATTTCATGGATTAAGTGTTAAAAAAAACACAAGAAAATGATTGGCAGATAATGAAAGTAATCATTTACTGCATGTGTTTGATCAAATAAGCTATTTTATTTGAATGTAGCCTACATGCAAGATTTTACTGTAAAGTTGTGTAGTCAATTGAGCGCAGGTCTAACCCGTATGGAGGACGGAACATGACTTAAGTATAAATAAATAAATGTATGAAGAAATACAGGAATAAATAAATTACGTACATAAATACAGGAATAAATAAATAAATACGTAAATAAATAAATAAATACAGGAATAAATAAATGACGAAATAAATACAGAAATAAATAAATGTTGAAATGAATACACAAATAAATAAATAAAAGAATAAATGCATAAATAAATATGGAAATAAATACATCAATGTATAAATAAATAAATGTCGAAAATAAAACAGAACACACGTTATTATTATATATCTTTCATTTATTTCTACATTTACGCGACATACATTTATTTATTTATGTATTTATGTGTCCGTATGCTAATGAGGTGGGCGGTCCTAACCTCAGTCTGAAGCAGGATTCGCCAATTGTTGGAGCCAGGCAGAAGCAATAGATTTGTGGCAAGTCACATCATGTCGAGCTGAGCCAAGTCCTCTATACATCGTTCCACACGAAACTGGACATAGTCTTTTGGTTCTCCGTTCTCTAAATGGTCCGCTAATGATCGTAAATGATCTCCAATGGCTCTTAAATCAATATCCATAAATAAACCTTACAACTGTGGATAAACCATGGATGTATAAAGATAAGGGCTAAACAGTAAAGCTCCTGCATTCGAATCAGCGCGGTTATCCAGGCGTTAGTAGTAGAGCCCTCTGCCAGAAATGATCACACACTCCTGTAACCAATCCTGCTTCAGACTGAGGTTAGGACCGCCCACCTCATTAGCATACGGACACATAAATACATAAATAAATAAATGTATGTTGCGTAAATGTAGAAATAAATGAAAGATATATAATAACGTGTGTTCTGTTTTATTTTCGACTTTTATTTATTTATTTATACATTGATGTATTTATTTCCATATTTATTTATGCATTTATTCTTTTATTTATTTATTTGTGTATTCATTTCAACATTTATTTATTTCTGTATTTATTTCGTCATTTATTTATTCCTGTATTTATTTATTCCTGTATTTATTTATTTATTTACGTATTTATTTATTTATTCCTGTATTTCTTCATACATTTATTTATTTATACTTAAGTCATGTTCCGTCCTCCATAAACCCGTGACAGGTAGAAGAAATAATAAATGGACAGGAGAGGAAAAGCAGTGCAGGGGATAAGAGGTCCGGTGTGACGGTGCAGGTGTTAAACGCCCAGAGGCCAAGCTTTTAACACCCAGAAACGCGGCTTTTCTCACCATCGCATGAGGCGGGAAGCTAAAACAGCAATAATACGTGGAAGAAAAATAATAATAAAGAGGAATAGTTGAAGTACTTTCGCACTTGTTTTCTTTCCTGCTACTAAACTGAATCCAGAGTATATTTGCAAAATCACACTGGTGTTTTCTTCAGGATATGTATGCTGTTGATACATGTCTGTCTTTTGTACCCCCTGCAGAGGTGAATGCACTGCAAGAAGATCAAGGCTCTTTTAACTGTAACGGCCCGTCCACACTACAGCGTCGACAGCTTCAATCTGCCCATTCACTTTGAATGGGGTGACGTCACGTTGCCGCTTTTTTTCGCCGAACTGAATTGTGGGTAGCATAGCGGTCCGTCTCCGCCGTCAGAAGTTCAACTTCTGACGCCGGAGACGCCGGAGTAGCCTGCACCAGCCAATCAAATCCCGTTTCGGAAAATCTGACAGCTCAAGCCGTAGCCAATCAAACCGCGTCTAAGCTGGGAGAGATATCCCGCCGTTCATTTCTATATTTCAAAAAAAGATGGAGGAGAAACTCATTATCGTCGTAGCAAATCACCCGGTTTTGTATGACCAGACCCTCTTCACCTACCCGGATACAAACCGGAGGAACCAGGCATGGAGGGAGGTGGCAGAGACAGTGGGTGAAACTGGTAGGTTTTCGCCTGTTTGGGGAGTTTATATATATATATTGCTCCCATAAAATCCCCGGGGGTTTTTATGGGAGCAATATATATATATATATATAAACTCCCCAAACAAGCGAAAACCTACCGAAATCCATCTTTTTTTGAAATATAGAAATGAACGGCGGGATATCTCTCCCAGTTTAGACGCGGTTTGATTGGCTACGGCTTGATCTGTCAGATTTTCCGAAACGGGATTTGATTGGCTGGCGCTGGCTACTCCGGCGTCAGAAGTTGAACATTGTTCAACTTTGAGACGCCGGAGACGGACCGCTCTGCTACCCACAATTCAGTTCGGCGAAAAAAAGCGGCAACGTGACGTCACCCCATTCAAAGTGAATGGGCAGATTGAAGCTTTCGACGCTGCAGACGCTGTAGTGTGGACGGGCCGTAACGGCCCGTCGGCCTCAAAAAAAGCTTGGAGCTGGGCGCGTCTGAAGCTCGACCAACAACCAATCACATGAATCTCCCGCCCCTGACACACAAGCAGCGGTTTGATTGGCTAGAGCTTGTACTGGCATATGATTTGATTGGCTGGCGCTGGCTACTCCGGGGTCTCCGGCGTCAGAAGTTGAACATTGTTCAACTTCTGACGCCGGAGACGGACCGCTATGCTACCCACAATTCAGTTCGGCGAAAAGCGAGGCAACGTGACGTCACCCCATTCAAAGTGAATGGGCAGACGCGTTGGAAACCGTTTTTGAAGCTGTAGTGTGGACGGGCCGTAAGGCCTTCATATACTATATATTTTTAGTATTCAAACAGGTGCAGTGGTGGGAAATGATAACAAGCAGCTCACAGCTGGATTCAAACTGTCGAGTAACGGTGCAAAGACAGGCCATTAAAACAGTTTGATTCATGTCTGCGGCAGAGTTCCCGTTAGCCGGTAATTACCGGACTACGACCGGTAAAACATGTTGAAGACCGGCAAATCTAAATCTCTCCGGTCAAAGTGTCCGTTCAAAATCATTTCCGTTTAGCGCAATATTACATCAGTTGCGCAACTTGCGCCATTTATGTGACAGACAAAAGAGTATGTGACAGACAAGAATAGTCAATTCTAATGTCTAACACGTAATGTGGAGAAAGAGATGTCCTGTATGGGTTGATTGTGCGTTGATCTGTTGGTAATGCCTCGGGGTTCCGGTGGGCATGTAAACAAATGCATAATGCTGCGCTATACTTTGCGGCCTCACCCGGTTGCATAGCGACGCTTATTGTTTAGGTGTCTTTTAATAAGCAGGTAGTCCTATCATTAGCTAGAACTAGCTAGATCTGATTGATATAGATATAAACACGAGTGAAGTCTAATCTGACGGGAGAGAGATCAGCTGCTGCAGCTGACGAGTCGACAAGCAGCTCTGGATGATCACATGCAGCGGTGAGCGGAACAAAGCACACACCAGGTTAGAATAGCACACGTAGGCCTAGCTATTTTAATGACCTCTCAAACTACCGTAACTAGTTATAGATATGTTTAGTTTTACTGTCGGGTCACTCATTACTGATCCGCGAGCTGCATGATACTGAAATTGTAAATAAGCCATCTGTATGTCAAATATGTCTTATATGTCTTAAATGACATGATGAATTGGAAATGGGGGACCCTGATGTAAACAAGACGAAAGTCTTTCTCTGGTCTGCATCCCCTTAACAATTGTATGTTTTGAGCTGTACTGTACTGTACCCAATATACAAGCTGTTAATAAACTTTTCAATCAATCACGGGCTGTCAGAGGGAGAGCGCTCCGTTTATTATTCCCGTGTTATTGTAAGTTACTGTACACTTTTGAATAATGTAGTTAATCTACTATAATTAGTTTGTTTAATATCGAATAATATCAATTTGTTTTAAAGCACAATAAATAACAAAGAAGACCTTTGACCGGCACTTTTCTCATTTTGTCCGGAAGATTTAAACTTTAACGGACATGTTGACCGGCGAAAAAATATTCTAACGGGAACTCTGGTCTGCGGTCTGAATGGGAACACGCTCTCCTCCTCTTTCCTTTACTCTGCATTCATTATCACATTGGCATTAGATATTCATGTATTTCCAACATGCGTAACATTGTAGAGACTTTCTGTCACTCTCCGAGTTCTTCTGCTCCAAGGTGTCTTTTGAAGGCGAGCTGTTTCTCCCCGAGCGTAGAACCTCTCTGAGGTGACTGCAAGCTCAATGTGTTTAGTGGGAAGCAGTAATGAGAAACGGGGGAAAAAAGGAAATCCTCCAGCTCACAAGAAGACTCCGAGATCTCAGGAGTGCAAACACCACCCGAGGCACAGGCTAAACGGGAGAGTTGTTGAAGTGCGTGCTGCGTGGTACTTCACACCCTCTTTCAACTTCTCCCACTGGATCATCAATAATGCAAGATGTCCGTGCAGTTGAGGAAAGCAGAGCGTCTCCCCTGCTCTCTTGTTCTTTCTCTCAGGAGAGACGTGGCCTTCAATGCCAACCTGTGATCTGCCATCAACCCAGATCACAGCTTGACTCAGACTTGGCTTTACATCGATTCTTTAAGAAGATGGCCATCCTCCATTTATGCGCCTATTAATGCTGCAGAAAAGTCTTCAGTCTTTGTAGCCAGTGATCAAAGCTGTGTGTGTGTGAGGCCATTGATCACAGACGCATATGGCAGCCAGCGGAAATCCATATAAGACGACAGATTTTCTTTTTGCTTGTAGACAATTGCAAATTGTTCAAAAAAGGCAGAGAGAAAGACGTGGTACAAAAAGATAAACATATACCATAGTTGTAGTAATATCAAACATGTTCAGATGTATTTGCTATTACTTAGTGTGCACTCCTACAGTATAGCACATTAAAGAAGAACAATAAGCGTTATCAATAATGTTACAGTATAGATTTAGCTGCCTCATTTCATCATTTAGAGTACTAAACTTAATCGACTCAATTTTGGTTCAATAATAATAACATATTTAAAAATATTTTACATTAAATATTCTTTTATTAGGTTTGTCATAGTTTCAGCAAGTTTTACGATGTTTATTTTACAGGAAATAGCAGATTTATATGGCATAAAATGGTAAAACCAAT